AGCTTCATGTGATAACTACAGCTCAAAGATATTACATTATGCAGACCTTATTAGTTTTACACTTAAATCTGTTCATATTAGTTACCTTATTTGCATAAGCTTTTCCATCAATATCTCAAGTTCAAGTAATTTAGAATTATTTTTAATGTGTCTCCAGCACACAGTTCTTTCTAAGCTTTTTGGATTACTGATAATTGCAATCATCTTAACTCTCATCATTTTGTCTAACCTTCAGTTACGCCAAAGCTATATCAATGGTTTCCAGTGGTGCATTGGAGGTATCATCTCTCATTTCACATCGCTTTGATCTGACGAAGTCTTTGGATGCCTTTACGACGGCCAATGACAGGAATTCTAAAGCTATTAAAGTCATCATTAATTGTGATAAATAAACTTTGTTCTTATTGTGTGTAGATTTTTGCATAAAGAGTCCATTGCTTGTATTATCAGAATTCAATGTTTGTACATCTTTTATGATTTTATTAAAAACCTGTAGTATCAATCAAAATATAGATCTTCAGTAACATTTATAATCTTGCAGGCTCAAGAGAGTCATGGTTCATAGAATATCAACTCTGATTACCAAACAAAAGTTCCAATCCGTGTATTTAGCATGTGTGGAAATGTGAATTGTCGGTTTAGTGGTTATTTATTTGTCCCATGCAACCATGAATGTCAAATCTGAGACCAGTCAATCCTTAATTCTAAAGATGTTTTACATTTCAAGAGCAAACATGATCTACTTTCCACAAACTATGCTAAGCAATTACATTCTAAAAATATGCTAGAATAGCGGCTCCTTAAAAGTTGCACAAGTACAAGCTTGCTGACCAATTTTCTTTGCATACAGAACGTTGCCACAGCAGAAAAAATCCTGTTCTGGATAGAATCAACAGTTCAGGTATATCGCCCTCATTAATGATAAACAATAAACTTTTGTTTTCATAGCAAAGAGCATAATTTAACAACTACACGAAGATGTCTTTCTTCATACAGAATAACAAATGGAAATATAGCAGCGATGACTGGTTTCGAGCCTGAAGTTTTTTGTCATCCAGTAAATCCAATATGGCAGCTAAGGTCACATGACCGCTAAAGATTTTATTGATATTGCTAGATTTGAGCCAATAATGACTCACAAAAAAAACAGAAGTTCCTAGACCCTCAGAAAGTGGCGCAATTGAGCACTTCCAGTTTTTGTTCTAAGATGGCGGCCAGGTCATGTGAACTACATGGCTGGTTTTGGGGTAT